ATCTCGTCCTGGTTGCATTTCTGGTTACTATATTAGGCGATGGGATCCCCCCCGCGAAGTATTTGCATGTTCTAAAGAAGTAGATGAAGATAAGCCAGAAACGCAGAAATTTATGCCGCAACTGGTTGTGCCCGATAATCCGCTCGATAGAGTTAGTTCGTTTCCTGAGAGAGATAAAGCCAATATTCCACGCAGCGAATATCAATAACTGATCACTGGCCAGTGTTGCGTACTACCGCTGACTCATTCCAACCGACCGGGTAAAAAAAAAAAAAAACCCCCCAGGAAAATCCGACGGACAAACACGTATAACGGAAGCCTAACTTCCTAAGCGAAAATATTTCTTACTGTAGTCGTTTCTATCTCATTTTGAAACACTACAATTTCGTATAACCGTAGATTCGAAAACATAACCAATAAAAGACAACTTTTTTCCTTTCAATTTAACAATTTTTACTATTCTCTAATTTAAACAATTTACCACGTCAAAGGCAATTGAAAAAAAAAGAAGTTTGAATATAAGACTTTTTACATATTGGTATAGTTCGTACAATTAAAAAAAGGAAATGTACATTTTAGACACTCTATATACTGAGTACCTCCTTCAGAGCGATTACATTAAATCTGAAATTTTTTTCTGATATATTACAGAGAATTTATAAAAGCAAATTTAAACATCGACTGATTTGGGCCGAACAAAACGATAGGATAATAATAAAAACTTGTAATTGTTTTATGAAACGAGTTTTATTAAATAGTATATTAATATTTAGCGAGAACCCCCTTTTGTTGAAAGACGTCTAAAAATCGTTTCGGAATTGTTTTATATCACCGATTAATACTTTATATGCACGCTTGGATGGATCAACGGACGAATGTGCCCCCTATCGATTATAATTCTTCCATTTCCAACCCCCCCCCCCTCCGCCCACCGTATTTAACAAAGCGACCAGGCGGCACGCGAACCTTAGCCGTCGACTATTTTTCCCCAGTTCATTCACTAATGCCCCTAACTTATGCCCGTTGCCTGTCGAGGACGATTACCTTCGAAAATCACGAAACATTCCACGCGTATTTCGAGTAAAAGTTGGTATAATGTACAATCCCGACCATTAGGCGCCCCCTACTCCCATGAAGAATTAGACAACGCGAATAAAACGGTGAAACAAAGGAGACGGTAAAAGTATGATGTAACCGAACTCGTGGTGAACGCTTTGTTTTCAACGCGTCGGACGACAATGACTTTTTCGTCGGTAATTTATCTTTAGAATCGACACCAGCTCCAACAATGACACTCCCGTTCTATTTCTCCTTTGAGCGTCCGTTTGTGAATTCGAATATCGCATAAATTACTCTCTTGGAAATGTGACTTAAATTCGAGAATTGTATACAGTGCTCCCTCGAACAACGTGGTTCCGATTATACACGGATTCTTTTCTTGAAAAATTTCAACATTCATTTCGAATCAATTAACATGTTCGGCATACCTTTATAATTTTCTTTATCATGGCGAATAAGAGAGGTAACAAAGAGCGAATACGAATTCGATCGTGTGAACTAATTCCTTACAAATTGCCGATGCATACAAGAGGCAGTGGCACCGACTTCAAATACATATATAAATAATATAATATATGCGTGAATAATGTAATTACATAATACACATATGTATATGCACATACATTGGAAGAATATAATTCGCTACGCGAATTTCCATCTACGCGGACAGTTGGCGTTTCTAATTCTCGCGTTGTTCGAAGGAGCACTGCACTATCGAATTTCGTGGTTTAAATAAACATGTTTCCCAATCTATCTGTACCTACGTGGATTCGTGGACAAACTTTTGTCGTTAATTAGTTTTATTTTTTAAACGAAGTTAACGTAATTATTTAGCACGACTTTTCCGATAACTGAATATTTAATACGGTTGTTTACATACATAGCCCCCTATCGACATCATACGGAAACAGCACATGCCCGCCTTTTTCTGACTCGTATCATGTATAGCACAGTATGTATAACAACCGAAAAATTGCGTGTTTAACATACTAGCTTATTTAACAACGCTACGTACATAAAAATGACGTAAATATTTATCGGAGATACAGAAATGCGTAATCGATGATATTCAAACCTCGGTATTCAAGGAAACACAAAGTCCAATGCTTTTTCGTTTAACATTAAAGCAAATCGGTTTCGAGCCACTTTAATACAGGACCAATCGTGCCATTATCGTCTATTCGTTGTTTGACACAGTTGCACGAATTTCACGGTACATTTTCAGTCGTGATCCGACCGATAGGCCGGTAGTTTTCGTTTTTATCGTTTGGACCACGGCCAAAAGGTGGAGACACGCAATTAAATTTCGGACGAGCAAGGAAATCGAGAAGAAGCGATCAGAGAAGAGGGACAGAGGAGCTTTCTGTCGTCATGCATTCAAAAGACCGCATTATCGAAATTTAAAACTTGAACGATGCAATATTGATATACCACTGTTTGTATCGATACTTATCAATTTAGGGATCCTATTATGATGGCCCTTTTGTGAAAATAAAATAATTTGTAGTATGTCGGATATCTTTTACAGTATGATGAAAATTGTCTGCACGTTACAAGTTTAATTACTACGTCAGATATTTCGATGAACTTCGTGGCGACCGTTATACTGTAACAATCGAACGATTGAACGTTTCTATACACTAGCAATGAAGCATATGTGCATTTAACGGACCACAACGTATTTTTAACCTCAATTAACATTATACATTTTTCTGGACACACTTCCATAGAAAGTCAACTTAATCCTACCAAGCTACTTTAGGGGTCAATTATCTCTGGCGTTTGTCACCGTATTACATCCAGATTCAACCCACAGAACTAACTCTCCGTATATTTACCGCACTCGAGGATATTTACACAAAGCACGGAATTTTTCCCAGAACTCCACTTTCCATAATTAAAATCGTAACCAAGAAACTCGCGGATGGAGGCTGGTAAACATATTCCACCCTGTATATGTAGGCCGCCCGTGCAGGCCACCGCGAATGCGTAATTCACCACCCTTATATTCCCCAACCGGTATAAACAAAGCTTCGAACGATTCTCGTGTCAAAACACCGACGGAAAATAAACGGAAGAAGAAAAAGTAATAAAAGCAGTCAGACCAGTATTGGCCGTGGCACAACACCGCTGAAATTCCGCAGAGGAACACACACAAAAGTTAAAGATCGAACTCACTCACCGTAGACCCGTTCAGCGTGACATCTCCGTGCTTGCTGTGGATCTCGCTGAAATGTCGCGGACAATTTTTCGACCCCGTCGCAGTCTTGGCTGGCGTGCACTCGCGCCACGGAATATCCCGGTCACGTCCAGTCAGAAAAAGCACAGGACGACTTGCATCGTGATGCACGCTGGGCTTCCACGTCTTTCTCACCGGCGGACGTTCCCTGCCCGCGTATCGGGACTCGCGTGGATTCACGTTTATTCGATCGCACGACAGACTAATCACGAGCTGTTTCCACCACACAGGGTATACAGTCGATGGGACAGAAGCTGCAGAGTTTTCCGGCCGCTCCGCAGACGAGAGACTCGACGGCATATAGAGACGGTCAGGCACCAACGGTCTTGTGTGCGTGTTTCGGTCAAAAATCCGTGCTAAGAGCGTGAGACATCGGGACACTGAAGAGAAAGGGACGAGAGCGTGCAACGAAATACCTCCCCCCGACGGCAAGAACCGCACTGCTCGAGCAACAGCATCCGACTGGTTCGCTGGGCCCGTGAGACATTATGGGCGAGGAGCGCAGCGGTCGGTGGCGACGTCTAGTGAATTTCTGCGAATTATGGGCGATAATGGAGATTTTGACTTGATTCGCCAATATATACATCTACTCATAGACGAGATATAAAATTTAAATATAGTTGGATGGCATTTTCTACGTCGTACTTTATTGTATACATAGAACACTTCTATTGTATAAAAATATAGAATGTAATGCATATATCTCTTCGAAATACCTTGTACCCCACATGTGGCAGAAGTATGACTGTTTTGTTCAAAGTTTAATATTCGAAATAAATGACTCTCAATACATTTCGTTTTTGTTTCCTCCACTGAAGATGTAACCTTTTTTGATGCTAAATCGATAACGCTGGTAATCAGATAGATTACAGGATGCATTAAGAAAGTTTATACTTTTTTTGTTAAAATTTTATTTGACCGATATCATTGTACAATAAAACGAAGGAATTTTATTTTTTATATTTTAATACAGAAAATTGTTAGTACAAAAAGTCATTATTACTATTGACGTTTTCTTTAACGATCGTAGGTAAGATGTACGGCGATAAAGAAGATTTGGTGATCAAGTTTTTTTTAATATTACAATAATAATTGCAATTTAATTAAAATTCTTTGTTTATACATTAATAATTTTATTATAGATACGTTTCAAGTAGCTAAATTCAATCTATTGTGAAATTCATTCAATTATAAGATTTGGTGACAAAAAGTAATAATCGTCAAACAACAAATGTAAACAATAATATAAAATGTATCCTTTTTAATAAAAACTACAGGGAAAAATTGTTTTACCTTTGAAAACATTATTTACAATAAATACATTCGACTTATTGTATGTAGGGTTCTGAATCAATGCGTGACACAACTTGATATCAATTGCACTTTACATTTAGTGCAGGGGTGTGTGACTTCAAATTCTTACGTCTATAAGAATTTGAAGTCACTTTACCCCTATACAAAAAAAATCTTTACTTAAAATAACGATAAGTGTTTTGCCGACGTAACAAGAGGTTGCTGTTCGCGTGGATTTCGATCTCACCCGCTTGACACTTTCACAAGCCTTAATTACGCCAAGGAATACAGTAGTAACGATTGTTAGTGTCCAAGTATACGTGGCGGATATGACGCATTTATTCAATTAGATCAGTGGAACACATTGAACGATAAGTGTTAGTCACATGCTTCCCGTCGGAGCTTTAGAATGTTAACAAAAACATAAAGTCTTCGCCGTCCGTGTTACTTGCTACCGGAAGTCTACGAATGCGATGAACCGTTCGATCCAGAGGTAAGGACAATTTTAACATTTGACATTCACGTTTATGCTCTTTTTGATTCATTTTCTGTGTATATACTGTACCATGTGATAAATCATTAAAATGTCTGGCGCTTTTTTTTAACACTATAATCCGAAAGATTTATTTCACATCTACTATTCTCCGCGCTGTGGATTTGAGACTAGTTTGTCAGTGTTTTTGCAATTTTAATAACACTGATTATACGAAGAAGATTGAGTTGTTGGGAATTTTGAATCGTTTGAATAAAATCATTATTCATGGAACTTCAACTTTTCTTTCATATTATTATTGTCAGTGTTGAGTTAAAAGATCTACCTTTTCTTCTTTTTTCTTTTTTAAGATAAAAGTAAATGTGTACAGAGTAATCTGAGCAGAAAATGAAAACAATTAAAGTATTTAATCTATGAGTTCTAGCTGATACAGCATATCTCTTTGTGTATGCTGCAGTGTTCTAAGTATGATTTATGCTTTCATAGGACCAAGGATGTCAAAACGACTCAGCTTCTATGGTCTAGTAGGCCTGGCGTCCCTTTGCATCTTCTTCTTAGCATTTAATCAACGCTACAGCAGCTATCTCGAGCATCGACTGCAGCCGGTGATATCGGTCAGTAAAAAATCGGAGGTGGGGATTGCTCTAAATTGAGTCACGCCAAACACGCTCTTTCTGACGGTAAAGTCTAACTTTTGCACCTAACTTTTTTCCACTTGTACACTAACAAAATGAACTGTCAAGCCATGCAAACAGTTACCAGTTCTCTTTCTCCCTGTTTCCATTCTTTCCCTTTCCTTTTTTTTCATGCAGCATTAGAAATAACAGTTGTTGGAGATCATTGGAAATATCCTGCTTAAAGTTGGAGGATTACTGGGGTAATTTGATATTGATTTTGTACAAAAGAAATTAACACATATACACACTGTAAATACTCAATGTTTCACAGTCATTATAAATGCATTTTTCTTTTATGTTAAATTAATGCAGTCTTGGGACAATTATTTATGGAAAAATGGCAATAATAAAGACACATGTACATACAAAAAAACTTTACCTTTGTTACTTCTTTTTCCAATCATTCTTATATTTTGCATGTTTACCCAAAGAGACACTATCTCATTTTATATTTTTCACAATGTACATATATAATTTTTTCTTTACATCACTGTATATTTTGGACACTAATTCACTACCTATATAAAGAAAGAGGGAGAAAGATATTGTCCTGGTTACATCAGCAGCATTATCGTGTTCACAATATATTAGGCACTATCAGAATGCTAAAGTATCAATATTTTCTTGAATATAGGATGTGGAAATAAGGCCACGCATCATCAAAATTCAAGATCCAGTAACGGTAAGCAATATGCATGACCACATAGATTTTTGTCATTTTTATTCAATAAAGTGAGAATTACAAAGTCATTTCTATTGCGTAAATTAAAAAGAAGAACTTGATAAATGATAAATAATATTTGCTGTACAATTCAAACTAATCTTTATTTGTTTAATATAAATTAACTGATAATGTGTTTAATATATACATTTATGAAATTTGAGTACTTATAAATAAAAATATCTGATAGGTAAGTGAATATTTGTCTTGCAACTAATTCCACAAGAAAAAAGATTAACATTAACACATTTAGTATGGCAATGAGGAATAGGCACTGTAGACAATTTGCTATCATTTGCTTGTACTATATATAAAAATAAATTACAAATGTAATTGAATTTCAAATATAACTTATTTACATTTTACAGACATATTTTAGAGGATCCATTGAAAATGTCACGCTTTCTGAAATTCAGGAGGTTGTTGACCAGCAGAGAAGATCAATCGAGGGAGAAATGGAAGGGTATAAATATCCTAATGGAAAATATGGAATTAATGTCAGGTGTCTTAATATTTTCATTTTTAGACATTAACATATGAAAATATGAGATTTAACAGCAGTAATTGTACAATCATTTTTACAGTAAGTTGGAAGACTTAGTATTGGAGAAAGGGGGAAGACCAATGAGAAGTGTGATCCTAACGACCTGGCGAAGCGGTAGCACGTTTCTTGGTGATGTTGTCAACGCACATCCAGCTAATTTTTATCATTATGAACCCCTACTTGATTTCGGAATCGTACAAATCAGAGGGTCGCCACTTGCCGACGAAGCTCTTAGTAACCTCGAAGCTTTATTGAGATGTGATTTTAATAACCTTGGTAAAAACATTTTCCATTGAATTATTAAATAATAATATAAGCAAATATTAAACTACAATTTTTTCTCAGATCGATATTTGGACTATGGTAAAACGCATCCTTGGGTTTTCAACCATAATACTCATTTATGGAAACAGTGTCAGATTCACAAGAAAATATGTTGGGATCCACGTTTCGTTTCCAAATTCTGCAAATTATTTCCCTTCCAATCGATGAAGATTGTTCGTTTAAGACTGCGCGCCGCAGAGAAGCTTTTAGAACAAGAAGAGTAAGAACATTTATATATAACTAATAATTTTTTTGTATTTAATGAAACAATGTATTTTACAAATCACTCGTTTCAGTTTAGGAATACGATTAGTTCTATTAATTCGCGATCCAAGAGGGATTTTACAATCAAGAAAGCATCGAGAGTGGTGTCCCACTAAACCCGATTGTTCGGACCCTGCATTAGTATGCGCGGACATGGTTTCGGATTTTAGTGCCGCTGTACAACTGATAAAAAAGTACCCACGTACCTTTAGGTATGTCACTCTTTTGCAATCGATATTTTGCACTTGATTAACTACATTATTCACAATGATATGCACAACTGAGGCGTATTCAATCTTCTTTACACAACTATAAAATAGATAATCAATTACACGTTAATTTTTATTATCCATGAAATAATTTTTTTATTCAACAGGGTGGTACGTTACGAAGACTTATCTGTAGATCCCTATGGACACGTGAAAGAACTGTACAATTTCTACGGTTTGGATTTTCATATAAATGTAAAAACATTTTTGGATACTCACACGAAGAACGACGTAGGTGGCGTATCGAGTACCTTTCGGAATTCGAAAGTGGCGCCATTTCATTGGCGGGCAGACCTCGACTTCGAGGAAGTCGATGAGATTCAGAGAGTTTGCGTGACAGCCATGCAGCTGTGGGGTTACGTTATGGCGTCGAACTCGAGCCATCAAAAAGAGTTTGACCCGCTGACGGACTACCAACTGCAGTTGTGACACGTGGCGTAGCATATGGCGAATGTATAGTATTCGAGCGTAATTATCACTGTGTAGAATGGTTATAATTATTAGCTTGTCTGCACAGATACTGGGATTATCACAAGTGCCCTCATTCACATTGAAAAGGTGGTGCTGAAAGCTTGCCTAGACAAGCGCTTATGAACTCTTATGATCAATGCCTTTTTTTTTTTGCTGGTCTATTTTCGACCAGCGAAGTAGCAAATTACTGAATCTTGTAAGACCAATGGTGAACTTGTTCCTTAAAGAATTTAAGAGATGCATAAGTGCTCTTCGAGCTTGTTGCATAAGACTAAACAGATATTCTGAGAAATATTAGAAGACCAGAGTGTTAGTTACGACGATTGGAAGAAGTTCCTAAGACTCTGGCGTGCAACAAGGAAACATCCATATCAACGCAAATATTGAACGAAACCTAAATGATAATCTTTTTTAGAATTTAGAATTTAAACAAAAAAAAATCGAACAAAAAAATGTGGTCTTGGTATAATTATAATTATAACGCAGTAGGATTTTCCACTGAAATATCGAACAAATTCACGACGAACTTTAGATCTCAAGCATTTGCATAGATCGTTATTTTTCACCGTAACTTTAAACTGGAAGAATCATCTGCATAACGCGTAGTGTTATTTTATCATGTAATTCTATTTCTTTAATGGCAGTATGCATATTGATAGTCTTACTTGGAACATAGGTTATGTGAAAGTGGGCAAATCTTAATAATCTTGATTCACAACTGTTATTTTTTCTTTCTTACACTCCATGATTGTTATTGTTTCTCGAGAAGTGTGTAAGATTGAAATTTGTACGAATTTATAAAACAAATTTGTAAATCAGTTTTATTTAAACACTGGTTGTGCCAGTGTTCTGTTATACCTGAAATATTTTTGTTTCGAGGGTAATTATTTTTATTTAAGGATAGTTTCCATGTAACCGGCCTTCAAGCCAAAAATTAAACGATTCAATCTCATTTAGATTAATTTGGAAAAGATCTGAAGGAAAATGACATTAGGCTGGATAAAAAATCTCTTAAATGTTAAGAAACTTATATTTGAAGAGATTTAAAATGATCTGAATTATTTTATCCAATGTAGATTTATTTATTGAGTATATTTTACAGTTATTTTCATGAAATTTTAATAACTTTGTATATTATATTTGTAATATATTTTGAATTATATAGATGTTTACTTTGAATATAAGTAACATTTGTTTAAATGATAATTATTTGGTCGTAAGGGAAGCAATTTATATGAACAATTGCCCACTAGCGTTAGTTAAGTACAAATGCTCAATATCGATGAGAAATTACTTTGTGTAATAATTACAAGCGCGTTTAAAGTCGCAATGTAAATTTTGGTCAAGTTATGTATCAATTCTCAAATGTATCATTCATCTCTCCAGTTATACTTATTTTACCTTTTACCGAAATTTAGTAATATTAAACTGAACTTACAACATCAGTGGCATTGTGTGAATTTTTATTTATTAATAAAACAACTCATCTAGTCTAAATCGTGTTCGCTTTATTTTACAATATCATTTATAAACGAGTTACATACCTTTCACTGCACAAAAGTGTTCATTAGAAATAAAATATTTGTTATAAAATGCAATTTGTAAGGATGTTAAACAAGTTTTTATTTTTATTAATTAAAATAAAGCATTCTTTTAAAATAATAAATAAAGTTTCGTTTAATTATGTAACTTTTAATGAGATAAGTGAAGCTTAAAGTTTCTTGCGCAAATTTCCTTCGCAATTTATTTGTTCTTAATCATTTATTATTTTTGATTGTTACTTTTGTGGCGGCGTCTACCGCGATCTGCCAAAGCGGAAAGCGAGTTCGTTTGCGGGATACCGACGAACGCCGGAAGTGGTAGGTGTGCGCGGGAGGGAACTCCAGCGCCACCTTTTTTTAGCGTCTGTGTAGGAGGAGTAGTGGCTGTAGGCAAGCAGAAAAGAAGAGTCAAGGGTAGTCTAGCGGAAGCAGCCGAAGGGTGAAGAATGTTTGTAAAGCAAGAGATAGAAGATTTTGTAGTGTGTATATATATCGGTTGTTAATAATTTCAAAGAGTCTATTTTGTTAAAATATATTTTATTCGTTACACATCCCGTGTGGTAAAAAAGACAATCTAAAGAAAGACCTACTCCTATTTCCCGCGTGGGTCGATAATATAGAACACGTCTGTAGCAATCCGGTACATTTTAAGTGCAATGTGGTGCCACCTAGCAGTGAAATGATCGAACTTGTTTGAAGAATGAATATGTTTGTCCTTTTTCAATCATTTTTATCATTCTCTAATACCTCCATCATTATTACGTGTTCTTATTACCAAGCCCGCAGAGCCGAATAACAGGGGTACAGAAGTTAAGGTACAGCTATTATTTATCCTTATCGCACATGTAACGTCCAAACATCCTGACTAGGATAAGATAGTGACTAAACATCAATGAGACATCCGTACCTTGTACTACTATTTAAAACCGACCAGATAGACACCCCAAAAAACAAACGACTGTACAACCACCCCACTGCCGTATGTATAAAATCAACCGAAACCGATAATAAAAGTTAGAAATGCTGTTATTGTGAACGGACTCGGACTACAGACCTCGCTCGCTAGGCGCTCCCATTCGTTGCGTATGTAAGTCTGCATATCTCCCCCATTGTCTACGTTCCTGTTAATTTCAGGAAATTTCAGTAGAAAATTATGATAGAAAATGACGCCGGTAATATGTTAGGTTGTCCGGAAATAAATTGCGGTTTTCTGTTATGTCATATTTAGAGCTTTTCAATACTATATATTTTAAATTTATGTTTATCAAGTAATATACCATTTGAACGCGTAGATGTCGCTCTATCATATAAGCGATACACTTTTGTTTTTTACCGTCATTTGTTCTGAGTATAACTTAAAAACGTAACAATGGACAAGAATCAAATTTCGAATCAATTTACATATTTATCATATATTCACAATTTTCTTTGTTACGATATTCTACATCCTTTGGATTCCACAACACCGATTTTTCTTCAACGAAGGGTGAGTGATTAAATCGGTAATTTCATTTCTCGATCAATCTTTTTTTCCTGACATTTTTT